GGGGGGGGGGGGGGGGGGGGGGGGGGGGGGGGGGGGGGGGTGGGGGGGTCGGTGTGGGTGTGGGTGTGGGTGTGCGTATCCACAATGGAAATACGCATATCCACCCACACCCACCCCCACACCCTCATCGATCAGAAATGAAATTACGTTTCATTTATTTTGTTAATATGTTGCATAACCATCGATAATAGTAAGATTAACATAAACGAAAATCTTATATTCTCTTGTTTATTCAAGCTTATTTGGATCATACTACTGTCGTGACATTTGGTGATTCATTAAGTGACACTGGCAATGGTTATCGAATTTCATATCCTACTTGGCCATCTGTACCACTGTTTAATGAAAATGGTAGTTACACAGATGGTCTTACTTGGAATCAAATCCTCACTCAAAAATTTTTAGATCAAGCAACTTTGCAAGATTTCGCATATGGTTGTGCTACAACTGATAGTCAATTAGTACAAGGAACAGTGGGTTACAATACAAATATAAATGGTAATTATTCAATTCAAAATAGTACGAAACCACCAGGCGTTCGACAACAGATAGCCGATTATATTAATTCAACAATTAATAAAAATATTGATTTTGATCGAACACTTTATGTCATTTGGGGTGGCATAAATAATTATTATTATGATCAAACATTAACACCATTGAAGACTGTACAGAGTATTGTTGAATGTATGAATCTTTTGATATTGTTCGGTACAAGAAATCTAGTTGTTATTAATCAACCACCCTGGGATCGATCTCCTGCTTATCGAAGTGAAACTACAAATACAACAAAAATTTTACATCTGAGTCATAATAAAATTTTAGCTGAAAAAATCAATGAAACTTATTTATCGTTCCATACTCGACTGAATATTCGTTTGTTTGATTGTTATACATTTATTTCAAAAATTATGAATAATTATACAACTTATGGATTTGAAAATTTAGATAACTGTTGGGATACGGAAAGTAATTCGACAACACTAATTAAATATGAAAATATAACAAGAAGAATATTTGCTGATGAATTTCATTTCACATCAACAATGCATATGTTAATTGCAAAAGAATTTGATTTAAGTTTAGGAATATCAAACTCAACATCTACAGGGTCAAATCTAATATAAATTACTCAACATTTACTGTTTATTGTGGTATGTACTACTTTAATTGTAAAATAAGCTCAACATCTATTAGTATCAGTCATTGGTCACTTTTTTTGTCCAGTTCGACTCGTACGCTGATACTGACTCATAAACGGTCATGTGAAGTGATCCAAACTTTTGTGAACCAAAGTGCGCTTCTGTCAACGCGTCGTGTTTCAAATTACATCGACAGTAGCGCACTTTGGTTTACAAAAGTTTGGATCACTTCACATGACCATCTAATACCTACATTTTATTTTATGGTCTTCTTCGATGTTGAATTATTCCATATCATGTTGTTGAAGACATTCTAAAATAGAAAAGAAAAAGATTATTATATGATTCAATAAATTGAATGATTTTACATA